CCTGTGGACCGCGGGAGAGCCGGCTCCGCCGCTCCGGGAGCGACAGCTCGGCTCGCCAATGGGGGCGCCGGGGCGGGCCGTGTGCGGACCCCGCGATGCTGGTGACCAATGGGGCTGGGGCTCCTGGGTGGGCCGCGGGGAGAGGGCGTGGTCGGAGTCGCGGCCGGAGCTCGCCAGCGCTGCGAGGGCCAGACTGCGTGGCGAGCTAAGCCGAGAGGACATGGGTGGTTGCCCTCGGAGGAACGCCTGTTTGCCAATGCTTTCGCATCTGGACCCAGGCTCCGCCGGCTCAGGAGGTGAGAGCGTCCTTCTGTTTTGGGGTCTCGGGAGGGAGGAATAGTGACCCGAGTTAGGCTTTGAACCTCTGGAATTTCATCCCCAAGACAGGATAATACATGTGAGTTTTCTGCCAAAAGAGGTACTTCAGTGGTGACGGTGACTTGGGCTGGCTGTCTCCGTAATGCGGTCATTGAGGTTTGGGGACTAGGGGAAGTAGGTTACCGCCGTTTCCAACTCAACAAGCGAACTGCCCTTGTGGGTTTCTGAGGCTGTAAAACTTACTCGGAGCAGAAAGCCCTCTCTTCTCGCCCTCGGAGCGCCTGGTGGTTTTGAACTGCTGACCTTAGGCTAGCAGCTCAACATGTAACCCCACGACTGCGTTTTATTTCAGTGAGCCTTCTTCACAACGTTTGTAACATTTGTCATAGATTGTATTTACTAACTGATCAGGTTGGCTTAATAAATCAGGCTTTATAAACTTGTGCAGTGTGTTGCTCAGGTCTTTTAAAAATGAGAAAAAACAGTTGTACATTATTTCGCAATAGTAACTTATCCCTTTCCTTCACCTCTTTCCCTCTCAGTTCTGTAGCTGGATCACCTAGGAAAAGAAATTCAAAAGCCTTAAGAAGAAAGCATTTCAACTTGTGATATTTAATTTGCAGCTGGAAATGGGGAATGGACTGTCAGACCAGACTTCTATCCTGTCCAGCCTGCCTTCATTTCAGTCCTTCCACATTGTTATTCTGGGTTTGGACTGTGCTGGAAAGACAACTGTACTGTACAGACTGCAGTTCAATGAATTTGTAAATACCGTACCGACCAAAGGATTTAACACTGAGAAAATTAAGGTAACCTTGGGCAATTCTAAAACAGTCACTTTTCACTTCTGGGATGTAGGTGGTCAGGAGAAATTAAGGCCCCTGTGGAAGTCCTACACCAGATGCACGGATGGCATTGTTTTTGTTGTAGACTCTGTTGATGTTGAAAGAATGGAAGAAGCTAAAACGGAACTACATAAAATAACTAGGATATCAGAAAATCAAGGCGTCCCTGTACTTATAGTTGCTAATAAACAAGACCTAAGGAATTCATTGTCTCTCTCAGAAATTGAGAAATTGTTAGCAATGGGTGAACTGAGCTCATCAACTCCTTGGCATTTGCAGCCCACCTGTGCAATCATAGGAGATGGACTGAAGGAGGGACTTGAGAAACTACACGATATGATACTTAAAAGAAGAAAAATGCTGCGGCAACAGAAAAAGAAAAGATGAATAGTAATACCTTTTATGTTTGTGTGGAGTAGGTTTTCTCTGGTCTGATTTTGACAAATGGAAGCGTATCTGCAGCCTGGATTGCCTGCCTGCCCTCCTGGATGCTGTGAAAGCTTTGTTTTGTTGAACACTGAGATGCCCAACGCTCTTGCTTTGTGGAAGAGGAGTAAATGCAATGCTTCTGAAAGAGGTCTCGGGACTACCGTTTTTGGAAGCCAAGCAAGGAGAGTAAATTCACCAGGAAACAATTGTGGAAATTTGACCAGAAGTTAGTGAAATAAACATTGAAGAGTGTCTACCTAGTGTTGTGCTTATATCTTTTGGGGTGGGGGTGGAGTCCTGTGAAAGGGATTTGCATACAAGGCTTTGTAAGTTAATGTTGAATGCTAATGAATGGAAATGTTAAGGTAAAATACCCACACACACAGTTATATGAGTCCCATCAGTCCCTTTTTTTGATGTAAGGGACAAGAAAGAGGTGTTTGCTTTTTTTACAATTTTGGCCAAATGATTTTTTAACAGTTTTTGGAATCACATAATTTAATGCTATGTCTTAATTCTAGATGCTTTTAAGTTGGCTTAAGCTTAAAACAATCAAAAATAAGTAATTGGCATATTCAAGTGCATGCTTAAGTTTTCCTGACAAAGCATGTTTTAGTGTGTAGTCTTTAGAAATAACTATGCATCTTTTACATGGTCAGGTTTAAAACACCTTTTGGGGGTTTAGGTATGTCATAGAAATAGTTTGCTGTCAGAAGCACTTTCACTTGAATAACCTAAAATAATTTACTTCTATATAGTAAATTTGGATATGTAGATGCATATATGTATGGATTTATGAAGTAATTGATGAATTCAATCAGAAGGATGAACTTGTGATATATGGCCTCAATTTGTTAAGAAATTGTTGTCTTATTAATGTATATACTTGAGTGTAAGCTGACCTGAATATCAGCTAATACTAGTCAGCTGAGGCACCTAATTTTACCACAAAAACTGCATAAAAAATGTGCTGAAAAATCTGGCTTATGCTTGAGTATATATGGTCATTGCTGGCTGAACACAGATGTAGTTTTTCACATATTTTTGTAGTGTTTGAGGAGGAGCAAAAGCTTTAGAAACCACTTGCTGCACTGTGGAGTGAAAATATTAAAAAATGTCCTATGTGTGCACTAAGCTTTAAGTTTTTGTTTACAAACTGATCAGTGTTACATGGGCAGTCCAATCCTGGTTATAGGAAAGAAAAAGTGGTTGAAAACTACAGTGAAGAACTTTAAAGAAAACGGCAAATGTCTATTTTATTAGTTACTCGGTGCTGTTTACATTGGAGTAAATTTATTATAATGGAACACCTTTACCAAATCCTCTCTAGGCAAAGACTTCCTGGTTTTCCATTTGTTACTTCCAATGTAGTTCCATATATTAACAAATCAGCATTTCGATGTGTAAAGCCAACAGCTGTTCTGAAGATAACTAAAAGAAATACACTTCAGTAGCAGAGTTTTGGCTTTGACTTCTATGGTTCTTTTTTGTTTTTATTGACGCAGCTGAGTTTTTGGAAACTTGATTCTTGTTACAAAATGAAGTAGCCTCCTGTGGAGCTTTCATTTGTTAACTGTACCTGTACTAGTGACAGTCACTTAGAATGTTTATATTTCTAGAAATGTGGATAATCTAACTACCAATAAACTACCTGAGGCACTAGGAGATCAGTGTTGAGTTTGAGTGTATTTCTACTTCCTCTTATGCTTTTAACTAGATGCGTAAAAACAGCTTTGACAGCTGGGTTACTTAAGTTCTACAGTTGTTGGGTTTATTTGCTCATGTGTGACAGACACTGAAAGCTATTTTCTGGAAGAATTTTTAACATTTCACTAAAATCATGATGCATACCTGAAACGTCACTAGATTCGTGCTGGGTTAATCAAGCCTGCTGAAAAAAACAAGAAGAAATACTAGTGTCCACTAAGCTTTTCACCCTGACTCTGGACTTTACATGTAAAACCCAAACCAAACTCATTGCCATTGAGTCAGTTTTGACTCATTGCAACCCAAGAGTACAGGGTAGAACTGCCCCTGTGGTTCTCTTTGTGTATAAAACTGTGTTACCCACCTCTCAATGGAAGGTTGACTGTTGCTGTCAAGTCTGTTCTGACTCAGCGGTCCTATTACAACAGACCAAACTATTGATGGGTTTTGCACCATCTTCACAGTTGCTTAAGCCCATTGTAGCCACTGTGTCAATTTGATGGAAGGTCTTCCCCTTTTTCTCTGACCCTTTACCAAGCATGATGTCTTTTTAAGAGTATGGACCTTTATTTTCCAGACTAAATATTTGATAAGCAAATCAATGCCATCTCAATTTTTCATATTTAGTGAACAAAAAATGGCATGAATATTTGTTTTCTAAAATGTGTTTTCAACTATAAAACCCCATAAGCTTTAGATTAGTTAGTTATATTTACTGGTAAATATAATTACCCCATAAGATAGTAGGGAGTCTCAGGATAAATCCTAAGAAGTTTAGACAATGCTCTTGTACTTAACTTTTTGTTTAAATGAAACTTTTCTCCCCAAAGTGTATTTCTGAACTATTTTGAAGTTCTTCGTTTTTGTTTTTTTTTTAAAGTTCTTTGTTTCAATAGCAAATACTAACTTCAAGTTACTATTGAACAAAAAATTTTAAAAAGGACACTTGATGTATAAAAGGATTTAATATAAAAGTTAAATATCCAGAGTTCTAAAATGAATTGTAACATTTAGAAGGCAGAAGTTGTTTTCTTATCTAGCATAGGTTTGCCAAGAATTAATATTAAAAATGAGCCTTAATCATTATTGAAAGCCAAAAAGTTATTAGTGTAAATGTATGTATACAAAAAAATTGCTGTGGATTTGAGTCCAATGCAGTAATCCTGTATCGGGTTTCTGAGACTTAAATCTCTACTGAAACTGATTGCCACATCCAGGAATTACCTGGAGGCCTTGAACGACCGCTGCCTGTCAGCAGTCTGACACTGCAGCACTACCAAGGTTCCTTAAATACACACAAAGAATCATCTTGATGGCTTATGAGTAGAAGGAAAAGCACAGACTTAGGATAGTTTTGTTTGTACAAGGTATCTGACACGAGTAAGAGTGTTTTCCTTAAATTATTCATGTTGAGTTCAAAGGAGGACTTTGGTTGTGGTAGAGTGTTTTAATTCCATCCAACATTGTCAACTATAATAAACTCAAACTTTAGATGATGGAAATCTCAGCATTTAATTTAACTAATAACTTTTGATGTTTAGTTTATATCATCTGAGATTATAATTTTAAGTGTAACCAAGTTAAATTTAGTAGAACGTTAAATGTTTTAATGAGTCAGCTTAGAGTGAGAACAATTCAGTTTAATTGAAAATTATAAGAAGATGACGTCGGTCATTAAAACTTCATGTGGAACAACATGTGCTAAACTAATTATCATCAAGTTAATATTAAATAAAATCAGAAACATCTCAACAAACCACTACTGAGATATGTGCCAAATAATGTAGGAATACTTATATATGAGTAGAAGGTTCATTTATAAGTATGTCTTGTACACTGGCTAAGAACAGCATGAGCTTTAGAATCAAATCATGGTTGAAATTCTGTTGGCTCTTCCAATATCACACATAGGACTTTGAAGTTTCTCATATGCCCTCCTGATAAAATTCAGAGTGTTGAGAGGGTTGAATGATTGCTAGCAGAGTGCCCTGATACATAATAAGCATTCGATCAATAGTTTGAATAAATAGCCAGATGATTTTCTGACAAGTGTATTTAAAGAAAATATTCTTTCTTTGAAGCCCTATATGACAGAAAAAGCTCTTGATCTGGTTTTGGTTTTTGTTTTTTTTTTTTGTAGCATTTATGGTACAACTTGGAAAAGAGGATTGTTAGCTGCCATCTGGTAGCAAACTGGACCCCCCGGGAGCGGGGTGTGGTGGGGGGAGCAGGTGCAAATATGCCATTGCACCTGAGTAGCAAAGTGACCCAGGTGCAACCATTGTGATCCAGAGTTTTCATTGGTAGATTTTGGGACATCACAAGGAATATCTTCTTCGTCTGTTTTAGTCTGAAAGCACCTAAACCTGTGGCACATCACAGCAACACCCGACCTCTACTGACAGGTGGGTGGTGTCATGAATGCATTCCCTGGAATTGAACCTGGGGTGTCCCACATGAAAGGTGGGACTTTTACCAGTGAACCCAGGCTCCCAACTGTAATGGGTTAGCTATATTAGACAAGATTGGTTATAAACAAAGTATTTTTAATTCAAAATAAACCTATACTTGCGTCCTTGTTTCCTAACTTTGGAATAAGGAAATTGTGGAAAACCAAAATAGAGCTATTCTCTAGAGCTCTGTCCCGCAACCCTTCCTGCTTAAAGACTAAATCAGGGAAGATTCACCCATTGCAGCTGAGTCAGTTCTATCTATGGCAACTTTGTGATTTAGAGTAGAACTAATATATTCCATAGGGTTTCTAGTGACGCTGAAGGTTTACTGAGCAGCTCAGTTTTTCATTCAACAGTTCCTACACATTTTGTTGCCACTCCTCTTCTGCAATCCTTTCCATGTACCATCACTTATCCCACTTCCTCTTTTCTCTTTCCATTCCCCCTTTCCTAATGCTTCAAATTTTGTTCTTGTTTAAAAGCGAGTTTTTTAAGAGATCACAGGCATCCCTTCTAAGCTCTAAGGCAACTCCCAGTTGATTTTGAATAGCAGCTGAGCATGTTAAATATAGACTAAATGGTTAGTTCTGTTTGGAATTATTATAGGTCAATTAGCAAAGTGTTCTTCAAAATGTCCTTGGATTAAAAGGATCAGCATGACCTAGGTGCTTATTAGAAATGAATGAAAATACTCAGACCTAAGAAACAGAAGCTCCGAGGGTGAGTCGATTAATGTGTTCTTAAATGCACCAAAGAAGGGGTCCAGTGGACAAATGTCACCTTTATTACCACCTCTGTGTTAGGAATCAATGTGAACCCAATCCCCAATGAACATGGATGGGGTAGAGCTCACCTCTTAGAACAGCGGCTCTCAACCTTCCTAATGCCATGACCCTTTAATACAGTTCCTCATATTGTGGTGATCCCCTCCTCCAGAAATTATTTTCGTTGCCACTTCATAACTGTCATTTTGCTACTGTTAAGAATTCACATAACGCTGTGAAAGGGTCCACAACCCAAAGGGGTTGTGACCCACAGGTTAAGAACCGCTGCCTTAGAAGGATGCTTTCTTCCAGACTGCCAAATAGACTGACATCAGCCCTGTTCCCTGGGCTTGTCAACCCACATAATTCCCAACCTACAGTTCACAATGCACGTGTGAAGAAGTACCTTGCTCGTGCCGTTGGTTAAGCATGGTGCTGTTAACTGCAAGCTCACCAGTCACTGGGGGGGAAGATCTGGCTGCTCTGATAAAAATGTAGTCCTGGAAAGTCAATACGGCAGCTCTACTTTGTCCAAAAGGGTTGATATGAGTAGAAATCAACTCCACAAGTGTTGTTATTGTTGTTTGGTTATACTAGTGGCTGGAGCCGTGGGATCACTGGCCTCTAAAGCATTGGGCTGCTAAGTGTAAAGTCACTAGTTGAAAACCACTGGCTGTTTGGTCAGAGAAAGATGAGGCTTTCCACGCCTCTGAAGATCTACAACCTCAGAAACCCTACATATGGTCCCTATGAGTAGGAATTGCTTTGATGACAATGGGTTTGGGTTTGGTATATTTGCAGGCTTGAGTTTATTACAACCAAAAAAGATAAAAAAGGAGAGAGAAGATGCGATCTGGGAGGGATCATAGCCTGAAGGTTTCATGTCTACAAAGAAGGACTTTCTACTTTGTGGGGATAAAGGGGAGAGGGGTTCCCCACAAATCATCACAGGTCCGGTAGGTGCAATTGTACAGCGATAATAAGTAAGGATTATAGTAAAGTCATACCACGAGAGAGGAGAGATTGGAATAAATGGAGTCAGACACAATTCATGGTAACATTGCTAACTTCAGCCCCACTTGATGGTCCTCGTGGGGGGAACCCAGACACGAGAGCAGGAGCAGCCTCAGGGACCTAGAACCAGGGAGCCTCTCTTTATTACTAACCACGCGTTATATCACTTTAGGGGGACATGATTACAGAATCACATGTCACAGGAAGGGGCAGTACAATAGGCATACACATCGTAGGAAGGGGATCTATGATAGGCATAAGTGTAACAGGGAGGGGATGAGCTAGGGGTGTGCCCATAGGAATGGGAAGGTCTAGGGGTAATACATGTGACAAGATAGGCGGACCCTAGTTTCATGATGGCAACCTAACCTTGATCATCCTTGGGAGGGCTTGACCTCTCTGGTGTCTCCTACAAGGAAACAGCTATCCTTATCAGAAGGGAGTGGGCCCTACTTGTGGGATAAACAGTGGTGTCTGCTTGGTCTAGATGGCTGATACCTCTTTGGGAGAATGACCCCTAATCTGATGACCTCCAAGTGTATAGTCATTCTCAAGCAGCTAAGTCTGGCATATATTTGGGGGAGACAGCTTGAGAGAAATCCTTCTGTTTCCCACACTACCTGAGCCTTAATTTCAGGGACCTATCAGCCTAACATTCCTAGAAGACTACAATCACATCTTGTGAGGGTTAGCATCTGGCTCCTAGGTGGTCCCTCTCTACACTCTCATTAG